AAATAAACTCCTTACCCTGGCATTCAAGACCTTTTATGATGTGACCTCACCTCAGATCACATGCACCCTGTGATCGAAGCAATATGATCACTCCAGCTTCAGTGCCTTTGTTCTGCCTGCTTGTACTCTCTCCTTAGCACCTCCCAGGCCTTCTTTGTTTCCTGAATTCAAGCCTACCCTTCAAGACACAACTCAGCTCTCTGCTCCACAGGGAAGTCCTCCCTGGCCCTGCTACCCCATTGTTGCCTCAGCTTCACTGATCTTCATCTCCACCCTCATCACCTCCATCCTTGCTGTACTGTGACTATTTGCTCACTTGTCCCTCTTCCCCACTAAGCTGTGAGCTTTGAGGAAAGAAATATGGAGTTTTAGTCATTTCTTATCTCCAGCCCTTAGCCCATTGTCAGGGAAGGTTAATGCTTGAGTAAATGTTAGCTCCCTCTACCTCTCTCCCCGGCCCCCTCCCCAGTCCCTTAAAACTGTCACACCACTTTATACATAAAGCTAAAAACGGGAAACAACCCAGACATCCACCAGCAATGTATAAATTGTGGAATAGCCATACAAAAAAGTGTTACATGGCAATGACAAGAATAAACCACTGTTATATGCAACACATGGTGAATTGCATAGGCAAAGACTGAACAAGAGAAGTCAGACCCAAAAGAGATCCTTCCATTTCTATGAAGGTCAAAAACGGGCAAAATGAACCTGCCGTGACTGAAGCCAGCATGGTGGTTTCATCGGAGGTCAGCGAATTACCTGGGAGCGAGCCTGATGGTGCCCCCGCTGCTGGAAGTGGCGTGACCACCAAGTGTGTACATGTGCCAATGTTAATCAAGCTGGGCTTTTTGTGCACTTGAGAGTGGGTAATGTGACACCTATTTTTTAAGTACTATAATTTTGTAATAAATCATTGTGGATAACAACACCCCTGTGTCTGAGAAACACTTGCTGCTACACAGTGACATGATTTCAGGTGACAAGGCTGAAGCCCAGAGAGGGTAAAACATTTATCTGGAAACACCCAGCACCTCTGTGGAGCCCACACTGTAAGGAAGGGCCTGCTTGTCCTACTTTCCCCATACAACTAGAGGTTCCACAGAGAGTAGGCTCTGTGTCTTTGTGTCTCTGGCACAGCATTCTGTGACCTCCAAATATCGGTGGGGCTGGGTGGGCCACCCCAGTCTGTAACTGTCGGAGTGGTCAAATCAGGCAGCAGCACAGTTATTAAGAGCACAAGCCCTAAGGCACAATCTGTTGCTGTGTGGGTTTAACCTCCTATACCTCAGTTTCTTCATCTGCAAAATGGGAATAATAACTTTACCCAGCTCATAGCGCTGATCTGAGGATTACATGAGTGACCAGGCATTCGGCACTTAGAACAATGCTTGGCTCCAAGTAAGTACCATGTGAGTGTTGCTACAATAACCCCTACTACGGAAAAACTCATCAGCCAGCTCAGGATTAAATTGCTGCTCCACCAGCTTTGGGACTTCAAGCCAGTTACCCATTCTGAGCCTCCATCTCCTTATCTGTTATACAGATAATAATGGCTGTCTATTGTCATGAAAGCAAAATAATGCGTGTAAAGCACTGGACACCTATCCTAAATTCCTTGTGTGACATCTCTCTCCCCACCGCTCAGCACTGGGAGGCACTCAGCTGCTTGGGAGATTTAATCCCTTCCCCACCCACCAGTCCCCGGCTGGGCATCCTCCCTTTGGAGCTGGCAGACAGCAGCATCTAGTGGAATGTTTTGGAACTACACTCTGGTCAAGCGCCACTGGTCAAGTTTCCATGCAGTCCGTCCTTCAAGTCTTTCAAAAGGGGGCCTGGACTAGACAAGTATTCACCAGGTACCGTAGTGTACAGGACATGGATGCCGGGAGCTAAAGAAAATGAAATGAGAGGTACAAGGTGGCCAGAGAGGGGTCATCAGGGAAAAAAAAAATCACAATTGTAACTTCATCTTCAATACCCAAACTTAAATGTTTTTATCTTAAATTAAAGAAAATATAAACACTCTGTAGGGCACTTAGCACACATAGCAGAACTCTTGGGGAAGCTCCTACAATTGCAGGAGTGATTTTGAAGTGGCCATTTCCTGTCACTGACTCAGTTAAGGCCAAAGCAATGAAAGGAAAGCTTGGGTCAGAAAGTGATTCCTGGGAGCTGACTTAGCTTCCCAGGTCCTTCATGGAGTTGGGGGAGCCAGAGTGCTGGACTCCAAAGGCCATATGTTCTACCCCAGGGTCTAGAAGTAGCACAGATCACATGCAACTGGGGGAATCAAAGATCACATGGAAGAGCTGTGATTTCAACTGAGCTTGGAGAATAAAGGTGGAGAAAGGGGTGGGTAGCCAGGGAAGGAAGGGAGTTTCAGGGCGATGACCATGCAGTGCACAAAGCAGCAGAGGGAGGCTGGACAGGAGAGTTAGGACCAAATCAGGAGACCCTAAATGACAGGTCAAGGAAGCTGCATTTAATAAAGTCAGGGAAGTCGCCAGAAAGAAGGTAACCTGATCCCAGAGGAATCCAAAAGGAAAAGAATAAAACAGCTCCAGAACCAAGCTAGGTGGCTACCACAGCAGTCCAGAGTAAAAGTCAAGTCTGGGGCACTGCACTCTAATGGGCGGATACAAGAGATGCTGGGGAGGTGATGAGAAGCAGGAGGAGGTTCAGAAATTGGTAGTAGTGGGGCAGGCAGGTGACAATTTAAGGTGCTGAGTCTTGGGGAGACGTAAAGGGGAGAAAGGCCGAGCATTACAAGAACAGGACTTGGACTTGACCACAGGCTGGGAGTGAGGGGTTCTCATGTGGCCAGGGGGTGGAGACAAGCTTGGTCATCAGCAACTAAGAGTTTAGGGTATCCACTTGGAGAGAGGGAGAAAAGGGGCCACAGCTCAGAAGAGGACTTGAGCTGGAGGGAGAGGAAGCAGGGACGGTCATTTGCAAGTCACGGACCAGGGGAGGAAGACAAAAGCAATCCTGGGAGGCTTGGGGAGTGGAGAGCAGACACCACCTGGACAGAATCAGGCTTCCTCTTTCTCCAGCTGCCTAAGGACAGAGGAGGAGGCACGGAAGTCAGAGGAGAGAACTTTGAGGGGAAGAATTAGAAGATCCTGGTAAGCATCCAGCAGTGTCAGAGGTCAGAGATCGGGTCAGAGTCGCAGAGAGGCAACCGTTGGATTTGTGGTTGGGGATTGTGATGGGGGACCCTGGAAAAAGCAGTTTCAGGGGACAGAAGTCAAGCCCCAAAGATTTAAGAGATAAGAGGCAGAGGTGGGGGGGCAGCTGAGGCTTCCGGGAGAAGAGAGGTGATGGCAAGCAGGGCTGGACTAGGATGAAGGCAGGCAAAGCACCTTGGAAACAAAACGTAAGGAGGTGCTGGCTCTTGGGGTGTTACAGGTGGCCCTGATAATGAGAGTAGAAACCCAGTCCCAGTACTGCAGAAAGATAGAGGCCCACAGAGAGCAGCAACCCTCTGAGACTAAAGAGACACCGGCAGCCAACTTAGAGCCCCGGAGAGAAGCTCAGACCCTTCCACCTCCACATCCAGGCCTCCACTTGGTGGCCAGTGGCAGAGCCTCGAAGGACAATGGAGGCTGGGGAGGGGACGATGAGAGGACACTGCCTGCATGCCCATGGAGGGGGTCCTCCCATCTGGGAACACTGAGAGGAACCAGGGTGGGAGGGTGGAAGCTTCCTCAGACCCTCCAGGAGAGATTGAGCTCCCGCCCCGCTCCTAGGGGGAGGAGGAGTCTCCGTATCCATGAGAAAAGCAAGGGAACATTTCCACCCTTTCCCCAGGCTGTTTCAATTCAAGGAGATTCCTGGTGCCCCCTAATGGGCCACACCCCACACTAACCTCCCCAACAATGCTTTCTTCCCCACCCCCCTCAGCCCCCAAGTCTGAACAAGTGTCTTCTTCTGGGGAGGTGGGGGGGGCTCAGTTTCTGTCCTGGGCTAAACAGTGGCACCCAAAAGAAATACATTTCCTAACTCCTCCTCCAGACCTGTGACCGCGATGTTATTTAGAAAATGGGTCTTTGCAAAAGAGATTAAACTAAAGTTGTCAAAATGAGATCATCCTAGATTAGCTGAGTGGTCCTCAATCCAGTGTCAAGTGTCCTTAAAAGAGGCTGGGTGGAGACAGAAGCCGAGGTAGGAGTGGTGCAGCCCGAGCCTGGGAGACAGAGCTACCAGAGGCCTGGAAAGCTTCTCCCCTAAAGCACTGGAGGGAGCCTGCCCCACTGAGCCCTTCGCTCAGACACTGGCCTCCAGAGCTTGTGAGAATAAATGTCTGGGGTTTAGACTTGTGGAAATTGGTTAGGGCCATCCTAGAAAACTAATATAGGCTGCTAGTCCGTAAAATGCCTAGAAGTTTCTAGGAATGCTTCCAGCCTTGAGGTTCTCAGAAATAAACCATGCAGCAAGGATGTGACCAAAAGGTGTGCTTTTTAACTCACCGCCCACCCCCTTCCAGGTTGAGGTTTAATACTTTACTTGAGGGGGAAGGAGGCAGCGGCCAAATTAAGGCATCACCTCCCACTCCGCAGGGAATATTACTAAAAGAGTTTTTCCTGACCCACCTCCTGCACCCAGAGCTCTCATCCCTCCCAGGCAGGTCGAACCCGCCAAAGCAAGCAGTCTACGAGCAGTCTGCTCTTCTGTATTTCTCCTTGTAAACAGGATCCCCTCTTCACAGACCTTCTCCCCACCCCCTCCCATACTTCCTCAGCCTTCCCCATTCTTGGGGGGCTGGATAAGATGGATACCCCTGAAGCACAGGAATGGAAGTCACTCTCCCGCTCCCCTGCCTCCTCCCCACGACACAGCTGGAGGGGGGAGGGGAGGTCAGCAGGGTTCATAAAGGCCAGATGTTGAGGAGAAAGAGAGCAGTGCCCACCCCACGCCCACCTACCCCACCCCCACCATTCCCAGAGAAAGAAAAATTAAGAGCCGGCTTTTAAAACAAACAAAACTTTTTAGTCCAAAACAGTTTTTCTCAAGAATCTGCTCTATGCAAACAATAACAACTTTTTACAAAGCATTTTCACAGAAAAGGAGACAAGTCCTTCCCCAGTATCGTATGTGGGAATTGTTCCTCCCTTGCCCCATTTTGGGGGGAAAGGGTGCTATTCACTAGTATGGGCTGAAGGGTCCGTGACTTCCTCAGCTGTTGGGCAGATCCGAAACCCCAGGGTCCCCTCACACTCAGATTTTGGATCTCCCTAAGAGCGACCGTGCCCTGACCTCACCTGGGTGTTGGGGAAAGCAGTGCTGCCTCCCTGTGACTGGAGGGGATTGGAGGGCGTGGTCCAGGCCTCCCCTCCCCCCCAAAAAACAGAACCTCTGACCTCAAAACTAATCCCCTGGCCCTGCCCCCTTCGGATCCATCAGGTCCCTGACAACTCCCAAAATGCCTCAAATTGGGGGTGGGAGGGGGGGAGCTGAAGGCACCTCAGCCCAGTTCCCATCCAAATCCAGACTTTCTCCTTTCAAATCCCACGGGCCCCTTGTGTGTAGGCCAAGAGCCCTTCATTTCCCCTCCACAAAAAGCAGCTTGTCCTGTCACTACTCTTTAAAGGGGCTTCGTTTGGGTGTCAAAAGAATGGACCCAGGCCTGCTCCCTACCTCTACCCCCTCCCATCCATAGATCGTGGAGGACCACGAACGGCAACTCTTTGGGTCTGATTTTACTGATTTCGCCCACCTTACACTTCCATGACTTTCCCCGGGACAATCTCTGGCCCCTTCTCCAGGCAAAGTCTGCCCTTTTGGAAGGGAAGAGATCCCGCAACCCTGGCCCTCCTGATGAGAGACGTAGTGGCTGGTTTATCACAAGAAAAATCCTTTTACCCACCAGACCTTACAAGTTGAAAGCAACAGGGAACACCAAAGAGAGAAACTCCAAAACTGGACAAAAGGGAAAGGCTGGTGGGTGAGGCTGAAGATCTCACCAATTAGAGGTCACCTGACTTGGGGGCCCTAGGGAAAAAAGCAGGAAGGGGTGATCTTCCCCTTGCCCAAGCTGCCCCCAGCCCCAGGGAGACTCCGATGGTGCCAGGAGCGCTGGGGGAAGGCCTGAGGGGAGTAAAGGGTTAAAGGCCTGGATGGTGGGGGTGGGGGGGAGTGGATGCCCCCAGGGAGCTGCCAATCACCTCCCCACCCCCACCGCAGCCCCCACATCCCCAGGCTTGCCCACAGAAACAACCGGTTTGTCCATCACCAAGGTCTCTCTCCCTTTTTTTTTTTTTCTTTCTGTCTTTGAGCCGTAGCCTCCTTTGCTCCCCCTGGGGTGAAGGCCCTGCCCCCAAAGATCCGAGATGGAAGAGCGGAGGGGTTGCCATCTATGTCATTAAGCCTTTTTCGGTTAAGTCTTCTCCTGACTCCAGCCCTGGGCTCATCTCCAAAGGATAAGGGGGAGAGGGTGTCACCCCAACTAGTTAGGTGCTTGAAGATCACTGTCATTTGAGCACCTTCTGATCACAGCCCATAAAACGTAAAGGGGACAGGCAGATGGAAGAAACGAGGCTCAATCCTGCCCGCAGTTTGGCTGTGGCTCCAGCTTGTTCCCCTAGGCAGAAGAGGTCTCCGGCTCAGGGTTCCTCCAAGTTGATCCCCCAGAATTTGAGGCCGGGGGGCTCAGGAACAGCGGGACCGCCGACCTGCCACCTCCACAGCGGGTGAGCAGGCGGAGGCTTAACATCTCCCTGGAGGCGAAGCGAGGATGCCGGCCCCAGGTCTCCGTCCTCCCCCACCACCAAGGCCGGGGGGCAGGGGAAGCAGTCGAGGAGGCTGAAGGTGCTCGCGGTGGGGAGCGTGGGTGCCGGGCGGCGGGGCTGCGCTCGGCGACGCGGGGATGTCGGCCGCCGGCGCTTCTTGGCGGCTCCCCGAGCAGGCCCTTTCGCTGGCGGCCGCTCGGACCCCCGGCGCAGACTGGGGGTGTCGAGGGCAAAGCCCTTCGCGTAACACCAAAGTTTCGACCGGCGGATCAGACGGTCGAAATGCTCCTGGCGGAGCTCGCCGGGGGCTGCCGGGGCTCCGCTGGCCGTCGAGGCGCTGCCGGCGGGTGCCTCGGGGGCGGCCTCCGGGGGGCTTCCATCGGCTGCGAGCGTCGGGCCCGGCAGGGCTGGCTCCGGCGCGGCCGCGGGCCCCGCGGGCTCGGCGCTGAGGTCCGCAGGTGGCGGCGGAGGCCGAGAACCCGGCTCTCCGCGCGGGCTGGCGGCGGGGCCGGCCCGGGCGTCCAGAGCCGGGGCTGGCCGAGGCGGAGCCGAGGCGGAGTTGGTCGGAGATTCCCGAGGGCGCCGGGGCGCCAGGCAGCGGCCGGGAGGTGCGCCGGAGCGGGCGCCGAAGTGCGGGAAGCCGCCTCCGCCCTCTTCCTCCTGGTCGCGGCCCCGGCACACGGCGGCGTCCGCATCCTGGCCGGCCGCGGCGTCCGGGCCGCTGGACCGCCCGGCCTGTCCCGCGAGGTGCTTCAGGCCATCCGCGGCCCAGGCGCCGGTGCACAGGGAGGCGCGCGGGCCGAGCAGCAGCGGGGCCCGCGACGCCGGCTCCCCGGGCCCCAGGCCGAGGGCGGACGCCCGGGGCTTGGCAAGGGCGCAGAAGGCGAGGGCGCGCAGGCACAGCGGAGAGAACTCCTGGGTCCCCCGACGCGGCTTCCGGGGTGCGGGGGCGCAGGGCGACCCTCGCGGGGACGCCGGCACTGCGAGGCGGGGAGCGGGGCACAGGGTCTCCATGGAGCCGCCCGCGGGGGTGCCCGCTGCGGGGGCCCGGGTCCCAGCGGCGGATGCCTCGGCTGCCCGAAGAGCCCACGGGCGAGGGGAACATCGCCCCCCCTCGACGGGGAGGTCTCCGCTCACGGGCGCCCCCGGCCCGCGACCCGGCCCGCGGCGCTCGGGCCCCTCTCGATCTCGGCGCGCGGCCCTCCCGGCGGCCGGACTCCTGGGTCCCCGCGAGTCCCGGCGCGGCCGGCCGCCCTTCCTGCCGCCGCTCCCCGCGCTGCCCCCGCGAGCGCCCCTCTCGGGGGGCCCCGAGCGCAGAGGCTGGGGAAACAAAGCGGCCGTCGGCCGCGGGAGGCGGGAAGGACCCCGGCCCCGGCACCCGGAGCCGGGCCCAGGCGGCGGGGAGGGCGCCTTCCGCCCGCTCGGCTTCTTTCTTCCCCGCTGGCTCCGGAGACCGCGTTATAGAGAACTGCCCCCTCGCTGCCCCAATACCAGCGCCGGGGCCGCGAGCCCGCCGCCGATTGGCCAGCGCTGCCCGTGACGCGCGCCGGGCCCCGCCCCCGCGGCCCCGCCCCCGTCCCCATTCCGCGCACAGACCCACACACGTGGACCCGGCGCGGCGCGGCGGCGGGGGGAGGGCGCGCGGCGCGGGGGGGGGGGGGGCAGGGGGGGCGGGCGCGGCGGGCGGGAGCGTGCGCGGGTGGCAGCGCCGCGGGTGAGGAGCGCCGCTCCACGTGGCCCCGCCGGCCCCGGGCCCAGCCGTCACAAAGCGACCCGGCTTTGCCCTTCGCAGTCCCGGTTTTCATGTCTGTAAAATGGGAACCTTCAGATCCCCGCCCGCGGGGCTCGGAGCAAGGGACGCACCGCCGTGGGCGGCTCTCAAGACAGTGTCGGGGAGAAGATGGGATGAAGCGATGGCTGTTGACACGCTTGGCGCAGCGGGGACCCAGGCCGGCGGAGCAGGCGCCCCGCCGCCCCCTTTCGTCCCCTCCTGCGTTGGTCGAGTGAGGAGTTAGGGATTCAGGGTGTCCAGGACGAACAAAGGAAAAAACGAATGAAGAGCGGCGTGGTATTAGTACGCCCGGGGAGGTCGATGAATAGGCTTTCTCGAGACCCGTTTCCTTTTCTCTGATGCGATTTCTAAAGGGCCTCCTGCCCACGTTCTCAGGTGCTGACTCTACAGCCCCCCCTCTCCAAACCCCAAGATTCTGCCCTCAGGTTTGAGTTGCCAAAATGGGCTGAGGAGCGGCCAAACCGACGCTCACTCTTATCTCCTCCACAGAGAGTGAAGCAAAGAAGTGAATTCCCAATAAAAAATCCTGATAATAGAGAACACACAGTTCTACCCCTTCCCTTCTTTAATTTCTGCAGTTACAGTTATAGGAAAGTCTGTGAATATACTTGTTCTCTACTGTCTCTCCATTAGCCTGAAAATGAGCTGGTGAGGATTTGTCTTACTCATTACTGCATCCCCACTGCCTAGAACAGTGCCCAGGCTTAATAGGTGCTCAGTAAATAGTGGTAAGTGAATGAAGGAATCCCTGGACTATTTCTCTCTTGATAAAGATCGGATTGTTGGAATATGGCTGCTTCCCATCCCCAGAAATACAAAGAGAGGGTAGCTTGCATACTGCCAGTGACAGGGGAAGCATTGTTTTCCAACTTGTCCTCAAATAACATTTGGGAGGAAAGGTTTAAGGAAGGTCTGCTTCTCCACCTCCCTTTTGCAGAGGCCAGAGTTGAAGGCCTGGGGATGGGGCTAGGTTTTGAGGGATGAGTGTGTGTGGTGTTCTGTTGCTCAAAACATTTACCCCCTGCAGAATTATCTGCAGAAGATTCAGGGCTATAGTCATGAGGGGAAATGCTAGGGTCTTGTGAGGTCTAGAGTCCAGATTTCCAGGGTGCCCCAAAGTCTGTACACAAATACACACTTGGGAAGAAGTTTCTAGAAGGATAACTATCTTCCTCTCTTTGTCTTCTAGGGGACAGTACTAGAAACTCTTACCCTGAGACAGCAGTGCCAGATTTCTTCTGCTTGGGGGATAGGGGGGCATCTGCTTCAATCGACTATCCCCCTAACTGCTTTGCTATGGAGAGCTTAGAAAGGGGGACTTAGACCCCACATGTAGGAGCCTGGACTGGGGAACTCCTTTTATGCCTGATTCTCTACCACATTTGCTTTCCTGTGCATAGCACAATGTTGACAAAGGAGAGAACATCGAGAAATTTTCCAGCATGAATAAATGAATCTTACATAATAGTGCAGATCAATGGTTTCCTCTTCCCATCCCAAAAGCCACCAGTCCCCCAAATCTGAATTTAAGGGCTTTATTAGAGTCATTACTATTGAGAATCCTTCTCTGGAGAAGGAATTCCCTTACTTCCATCCTCTCTTCTTCCCCTTCCTTGAATCAAGCACCTGGGAATATAGCCAGGATGGGAAATTCTTTCTTGGGCTCAGAAGCACCTTACAATCAGTAAGTGTTAATATGAGCAATACTCCAGCTGAAAGTATCTGAAGTCATCGATCCTCGTTTTTTTCAGAAGACTTGGGCTGGGGGAGCAGACTGTGCACCCTCATATACACTATAAGTCTCAGTGTCCCTGTGCGTAAAAAGGGGCCAGTTGCTTTCTCACAACAAGAGGGTGGAACTGTAAGGTGAGTAGTTGGCCCATCTGTTGCAATATCCGTTGCCTGCAGCAGAGGGCACTGCACTCTGTCCTCAGCCTACCTCTCCTCCCAAAGGAGGAAAAAAAAGGCTGGAGGCTGGGTCCAACTGACACTCCAATGGGTGTCAGTTGGGAATGACCCCCAAGGATCTGGGAGTGAGCCCTTCCCCTTCTTTGGTCCATCCAGGTCTCACCCAAAGGCCTGTGATCACTGATCTGGGAGCAGAGCACCTGCCTGGTTGCCCTTCCCCAGAGGATGGCGCAGCAGAAACTGTGTCCTGCCTCATAGTATTCATTTCTATAGCATGGATGGTTTTGAGGTCTGTTCTAAGAACTTTGCTATTTAATTCCTATAAAAATTCAATGAGATAGATGCATTTAATTTAAAATTTTTTACATTCCATACATGACCCATTTAAAGTGTCCAACTGAATGATTTTTTAGTAAACTTGCAGTTATGTAACTATCACCACAATCCATTTTTGGACATTTCCTAAGAGATTCCCCATTTGTAGCAACTCCCCATTCCCACCTCTAGCCCTAGGTCACACATCTACTTTGTCTCTATAGATCTGCCTTTGCTGGACATTTCAGTGAATGAAACCATATATTAATTGTATGTGGTCTTTCGAATTTGACTTGTTTGACAAAAGCATAAATTTTCTAGATGTATCCATGTTATAGCAAGATTAGTATCCTGCTCTTTTTTATTGCTGAATAGTATCCCATGGTATGGATATATCACATTTTGTTTCACTCATCACACTTGGGTTGTTTCCACCTTTCATTATGTTATTATGAATAATTTATGTTATTAAGTTATATATCACATATAATTATAATATTAAGTCATTATTAATACTGTTAAGAAGGGAACAATGGTTTACAAATCTTTGTGTGGATACGTTTTCATTTCTCCGAGTAAATAGTTAAGAATGAAATCTCCAGGGCTTATGGTAAATTTTTATTTAGCTTTTTAAGAATGGCCAAATTGTTTTCCAAACTAAGCCATTTTACCTTGCCTCCTATCCAGGCTTTAAATGAGAAAAGTGAGAGAAAGAAGCTTTAAGTGACTTTCCCAAAATCACACTGCTAGAAAGTGTGAGAGCTGGGTCTCAAACCTGGGCAGCTGTGCCCCACATCCAGGTTAAAGACAGTGAGTTCACCCCATGATGATGAATCAAAAAGGGAAGCCATTTCCCCTCCCACCACACGATGGCCTCCACCATGGTTGCAGGTCTTGCTCCTAGAATTCCAAGTCAGACTCTTGTTCCACAGATCAGGGTGTATTTTTGCCAAGAGCTATACTTTATCTCTCTAAAAATTTGCACCCTCGATTCATAGCTTAAGTTTTTAGACTTAAATGATTCTGTTCATATTCCAAACTCATTATTTTACCAGCTATGTGATTTGAGGGTAGTCACTTAACCTCCGCTTTAGATTCCTCATCTGTAAAATAGAAGTAGCATTTTCCTTCACGGAATTAAAACAATGCTTTATTATGGAAAATTGCAAAACTGTACAATAGGAAACAGGGGATATAAGCTTCAATGTCCCAATATCACACCTATATACAGCCTTAACAGCATCAACTCAAAGTCAATCTTGTTTCATCCTTCCCACCATCGACACCCCTCCATCCAATTTAATAAATCCATTTTATTGAAATCTGATTTGCATACAATAAAATGTACATTTAAGTGCACAGTTCATGTAGTTTTCACAAATGAATACACCCATGTAAACACCACAATTAAGATATAAAACATACCCTATATTACCTCACGCACACTCCAGACATATAATTTTGTTCCTAAATATTTTAATACATATTTCTACAAGATAATGACCCTTTAAAAAGTAAGCACACTACCAACGTTATTATCAAACCTAAAATGATTTAACAACCATCTTTTAACATGTTCAAGTAGTCAATCAGTATTCAACTCTCTAATTATCTTGTGGTTGTTTTTCTGTATAATTTGTTCCATTTATTTGAATTAGAATCCAAAGAAGGATTTCAAGAAGTCCATATGTCTCTCTTTTTAATCTATAAATTCCTCTCTTCTCTCTTTTATTTTCTCCCTGCAAATTCTTCATTGACAATACCTGACTGTTATTAGATTTCCCACAGCCTAGAAATTACTGATTACATCCCCATGGTGTCATTGAATGAAGCAACAATTTCCAACAATATTTATTTATTTTAAGATAACCTTTCCTTTTTTTAAGAGTCATTTATTTATTTATGCATAGAAGAACTGGGGTGTAGGCCAGAGGTGCAGGGAGTGAGAGGATTCATCAGAGACAGAGTGAGGAGCAGGACATGAGGATCTACTGAAATA